GAGTGGCTTCTGGAACCTTCCCCCGTTGTGTTTTGGCAGGATCAGACGAGGGACAAGGTTGGACTGGGCGCTCCCTGTGGATTTCTCCCCGGCTCTACGTAAGAAAGGTTAAAAGTAAGCTGTAGCACCAGAAAAAAAAAAAACAAAACAAATCCAGGAAACATTAATATGACTATAAAAGGTATTGTTTAAATCTCCCGGGGAATACTTTGCCCTGTGTCAACGGTCCTGCTTTACAGAGTGGGCCGCGCAGCCTGCTGGAGCAGGGGTGGGGGTGGGGAGGGGGTGGAGGCACCGGGCCCTGTCAGTGGAAGCAGATCCTCGTCGGGGAGCATCGCCGGTGCGTCATCGCTGGTGTCAGAGGACTTAGCAGATCTTCTTGGCTCCCCACTGAACGGTGTGAGGGAGATACCTGTGCAGGTGTGTGCGCGGCACTCACGGAGCATGTTTGCAGGGCGTGGGCAAGACAGTCACCTGTCACCTGTAGCATTCAGACACAGAAGAGAAACCCAAGCCAGGAGTGGCCTCCTGGGGACGGGCGGGGACAGGGTGGCCTCCGCTGAGCCAGCTGTTTGGGTTCCAGGCAAAGCGCCCATGTCCTTGGCACCTTGTGCCCAGGTATGTTTGATGCAGGAACCCACAGGCTGGGCGGGGGTGTGCCTGGGAGGTGTGGCAGTGGACCGTGTGGCATCCCTTCCCCCCGCCCCCAACGGTCTTCCTTCTCTAGGCACTGTTTTTCCCCAAACGCTTCCTCAGTCCTCTCCTTGTTTTCAAAAAAATTTTAACGTAGGCTTGTTTACTTGGAGGGTGCAAGCAGGGGAGGGGCAGAGAGAGGGCTCTGTGCTGACAGGCTGACAGCAGCGAGCTGGACGTGGGGCTCGAACCCATGAACCGCGAACCCGCGACCTGAGCTGAAGTCGGATGCTCAACTCACTGAGCCACCCAGGTGCCCCTATTTATTTTTGAGAAAGAGGGAGAGAGCGCATGAGCGAGGGAGGGGCAGAGACAGAGAGAGAGAGAGAGAGAGAGAGAGAGAGAGAGAGAGAATATCCCAGTCAGGCTCCATGCTGTCAGTGTAGAGCTCGACACGGGGCTCGAACTCTCCAACTGTGTGATCATGACTGGAGCCGAAATCAAGAGTCAGGTGCTTAAGTCCCTGGGCCACCGAGGCACCCCCTCTCCTTCTTTTCGTTGACCCATTCGCCCTTCTCCCCGAGCCACACCTACAGTCTGAGTGTGAACACCGCATTGCTGGGCTTTGCTGAAGTTGCCACAAACCCCCAGTGACCTGGTGAGCCTTTTGTGAACCCATCCGTCAGGTGCGGGTTCGTTCAGGCTTGAAGTCAGGTGGCCTAATTGTAATGGATGAACACCATTAGTGATGTCTTCTGGAGAGTTCTTTTACTGTCCTTGAAGCTTATCCTCTAACTGGAAAACGGGGTGACAGTTTTGACCTGGTTTTACCAAAGAGAAGGACCACGTTGAGCCGAAGTCCTCTTACGGGCCGGGTGAGATGGGAGCCTGTCCGTAACATTGACCTGCGTCTGTGGAGATACTGATCCAGACGCTCTCTGAGCATCCTCTGAAGATAGTGGTACCAGAGGCGTGGTGAGCGTCGTCAGCCTCGAAGGACAGCGGAAGTGACGGTCACGGGCCTGACAGGTTATAGATTGGACGCCGAGGTTCCTGCTGGTTGGCTCATCGGATCCTCACAACCAATGCCGTGTCATTTCGGCATTCCTGCTCCTCAGTGGGGGAGGGACTGGGGTGGAGAGGTGAAGCAGGAACGGAGTGGAGTGGGGCTCAGGGGACCATCCTTTTCTTGCGCACGACGGCACATTTATTGTCAGCTCCCGTGTGTCCGGCCCCACGCGAGACGCGGTCCCTGCCCTTGAGGCCTCAGTGGGCCACGTTCCTCCTTTACCACCAACCAGCAGGCGGTGGTGTCTTTGTGACGTTGGTCCAGGCACCCCTGGCTTCCGCGAGGCCCAGTGGTTTACCTATTTGAGGTGAAGCCAGATAGTCTCAGTGAAAATGCGTTCCTTTAAGAACAGGGAAATCGTAACTCTACCTTTGTCGGGAGAGAGAGGTTTCTGCGTCCTAATTGCAAGTATCTTGCTTATCTTTTTTTTTTTTTTTTAAAGCAGTCTCCTTACATTCTCCTGCCTGCACGAAATAGGGACATGGCTCTCCTGATGGGAGGGGCCAGGGCAGAGGCAGGCTGGCTACGCGTCTCCCCGAGAGGGTGAAGATTCGCCGTTCGGGGTCCAGCCACTCCTGCGTAGACCTCTCTTGATGTCCGGTCCTGGCTCAGAGGAAAGCAGATTCTGTGGTATTCTCGGTACCTTGCTGACGATGCCGTGTGGTCCCGATAAATACTATTTTGTGACCCAGGCTAATCCACGATAAATTCACTCTTAACGTTGTGGGTGCTGTTTCGGTAATTCCTGGTTGGTTATATGGGACCCAAATGCCATCTGATCCTTGCTTTAACCAGCTGTGAAAGGGACTCGGCCGGGTGTCCTGTGGGGCACCATCACTTCCGATGGGACTCCAAGCCGCTGGAAATGGGGCACGGTCCGCGATCCGGGGTCGCGCTGAATTCCTTTTTTCTCTTCCTTCCCCTCTTTCCCACATTTTTCTTCCTTTTCTCTGTCCTGCTCAGGCTTCAGAGTTCAAGATATTTCTAGGAGTCCCTCAATTCAGGTGCATTCGGGCCTCAGCAAGCTCAGGAGGCGTGTGGCCTGAGGAACCTTCCAGCTGAGGTCCCGGCGACATCTTTCAGACATCACTTTGCCCTTCAACTCCTCAGAGCAGCCTTCTCTGAACATCCCGTACAACGGGGGTTGGCAAACTTTTCGTAAAGGGCGAGGCTTTGCAGAGGACGTAGGGTGTCCGTTCCAGCCGCTCAGCCCGGCCATTGTGACACAACAGCAGCCCCAGACAACACTTAAGGAGCAAACGTGGCTGCGTGCCAGGAACACGGTGTTTACAAAAACGGGCAATGGCTGGGTTTGGCCCGGGGGCCGTGGTTTGCCAGCTCCTGCTCTAGAGAGAGCCCTCCCCCTCTGTCTTGTTTGTACCGCTGTCTTGCTGTATTTGGCTTCCTGACAAGACCGCCTCCCGTACTTTATATATTTTTTGTAGGCTTTTTGTTTATTGTCGGTCATCTCCACCGTAATTAAAGTTCCACCAGTGAGGCAGGGATTTTACTGTTCCCTGTTGCTCCCTGAGCATCTAGAACAAAGCATGGCCCGTAGGAGAGGTCTCGTAGATGTCGAATGAGAAAGACAAAACTTACTCGGGAAGCGTAGCCTGCGAATTGGGGTTTTCTGCCCTCGTTTCAGGGTGTGTGTGTCCATGTCTATTTTGTTGTTGTTGTTGTTGCTGTTGTTGTGGTGGTTCTCTGTGTCCCGTTCAACGTCTGGGCTCTTCTTGGCATGTATGCCTTTGAAGGTGCCCCTTTGGGGAGCCCTGGCCCTCCCATGTTGGCTGGTGGTGGTGGTGGTGAGGATTTCTAGAACCAGATGCACACGGTCCTCACTGTTCCTTCAGCAGTGGGACTAAGGCACGGAGTGACTTTATTCCATTGTCATGTGGGAGATTTGTCCAGACTACACTCAGAAGGACAAAACAGTTGCCTTGTGATGCTGCCCAGATTTGGAGCTATCCCAGCGCTGGGAAGCTTGATGTTTCCTGGGCCTGGGACTCTGGGTACCATTCACAGTTCCCATTGTGATGGATGAAAGCCCATTCATGGGTCCTCGTGGGTCCCGGCCAGCGGCTCCGGGTGCTCCCCTTGTAGGCCTGTGGCTCCCTCTCGCTGTGCTTGTACAGGTTGCCTGAGTCCTCTCTTGCCCTGAGGATTTGGGGACTGCAGTCAACGTTCAGCATGGGCCCCTGCCATGTGTGTGTTGCTTGGGGCAAGAGGGACACCCAAGGAGACCTGAGCCCTCCATCTACATCTTTGCTGTTCCCCTGGGCGACAGGACACGTCCATGAGCTACGTGCTGCTTCCCCAGAAGCTGGCTCAGCGGACAGGTGAACGAGGAGGGGAGATCCGCTCCACCCCCAGGCCCGGGGGACCGATGGCAAGCTCATATCCAGCTGGATGATTTGGGCCTTGAAGGATGAGTTGGGTTAACGGGGAGGCGAGGGAGTGAGGAGTACCTCTCAAGGAGTTAAAGGCCAAGGCCCCGAGGAGGCTGGAGCGCAGGGTGTGCGGTGGGTGCTGGTGGGCAGGGAGGGACCCAGCTGTGAACGTGTCAGAGGGTCAGGTGCTCAGCTGCCTCATTTCCAGATCTGTCTAGGTACGATACGGAGACCTCCTCTTGGTTTTCTGGGGCATTTTGTTCTTTTTGGTGTGAAGAAAAACAGCGTGTTCCAGCTTACCCAGCACAGTATTCAGTCTCCAGGCCAGCAAAGCGATGTGAGCCTGAGAGTTTTGTACAAGGACCCATTAGCGTCCCTTGAGTTTGGGCATTTCATCTTAAGAAGCTCGGCATTGTGACAACAGGCAAAGTCTAGTGCAAATGGGGTGTGTGTGTGTGTGTGTGTGTAAAGGTGTAGACACGGCCATGCAGTCGCATTGAATAAAAAAATTGTAAAACACACGTCCTTACAGATCAAAAATGCCACAAGAATAGAATTCCCCACGTGTGACCCTTGCAAGCAGGCTTTGGATTGGTAACAGACTGCAAAGTTTTCTTACATTATCCTTCCACGCTGGGTTTTGGGTGTGTGTTTACGGCCCTACAGCTTGTGGAGACAAAGTGGGGCCGCTTCTATTGGGCACTTCCTCTGGTCGATGTCTCAGACACTCCGTCTGCTCTGTGCACGGCTTCCTGGGTGCAGGCGGAAGCCGACGCCTGCCGGGGCCCTTTGCAGACCAAGAACCGCCTCTCCCAGGAATAAACGGGCCGCCACTGACCTTTGTTGGACGTTCTCTCCTTTTCCTCCTTCCCATCTGTCTCCATCTTCTCTCTCCCACCTTTCTGCAGAGCCGCCAACCAAATACCAAATCTCCCAACCTGAAGTTTACGTGGCCGCGCCCGGGGAGTCGCTAGAATTGCGCTGTCCGTTGAGAGATGCCACCATGATCAGTTGGACTAAGGATGGGGTACACTTGGGGCCCAACAATAGGACAGTGCTTATTGGGGAGTACTTGCAGATAAAAGGTGCCACGCCTAGAGACTCCGGCCTCTATGCTTGCACGGCGGCTAGGCCGGTAGACAGCGAGGCTGTCTACTTCATGGTCAATGTCACAGGTGAGTCGGCCTGCGCGCCCTCTGCTCTCTCTTCTCTGTAGTCGTTTTCTGGGTGAAATTGTACTGGACAAGGGAACTCCTAGTGGGATCTGCTAATTGGATGCCACGCACAGAGCTCCCTAATTGTTATTGATCTGTTTTTGAAGTTCTTCCACGGGGACCGGCTCTGCCAGAGGGGCTGGTCGTTAAAAATGACAGGATTCTCATGTGCAAGGTAGCATTTTTCTTTTAAGACAGCATGCTTTTATAGAAGTAGAAAACACATCTCCTCAC